TTTGATGAATCAGCATTCGGTTTTGAACTGCAAAAGCCAGTAAGGCTCGAATAGAACTGAACCGCACGACAGGAGAAAAAGTTTCACCAAAATCGACGCCGTACTTCTGAGAATACCCTTTTGCTACTAAACGACTTTTGAAACGTTCCACTTGTCCATTTTCGTCATACTTTACTTTGAAGACCCACTTGCACCCGATAGCCTTTCGGTCTTTTGGTGGCTTCACTAACTCCCACGTTTGGTTCTCTATGAGTGACTGATACTCTGAATCCGTTGCTTCTTTCCACTGTGCGGAATATTCACTATTGAAGGCTTCTTGGATGGTAGCTGGTTCTTCGATGATTGCTGAGAATACAACATGTCTTGCTTCTGTGACGTCAGCATACTCATCCAAGCCAAATCGAGGTGGTGGTACCCCTTTTGTGGATCTTTGAGATCGTCGAGGATGGCTTTCTTCTGCATCCGTGTTCCTTTCCGTAGGCTCTGTTTGTCGTTCATCTTCCTTTGCTGGTTCTGGACCCATCTTCAAATACTGTTTTTGAGATCCAAAATCATTTTCATTGAAGTTAACGTCTCTTCTAATCACTATTCTCTTGCTCTGCATATCAAAAAGTCGGTATCCTTTCTGATTTGCACTGTACCCCAAGAATCGAAGTCTGTTGGCTTTCTTGTCCAACTTTCTTCGCTCAGCCTCTGGAATATGAGCATAAGCTATGCAGCCGAACACACGAAAGTGGGAGACATCAGGGGGTTTTCCATACCATTTTTCATACGGTGTTTGACCTGATGCGCTGGTTATAACACGATTCCTTATGTAGGCTGCAGTGTTGACTGCTTCTGCCCAGAAGGTCTTGCTGAGACCGGCATGGTTCATCATCGCTTTTGCGGATTCAACGAGAGTCCGGTTCATGCGCTCAGCCACTCCATTCTGTTGTGGAGAGTGAGGAACAGAAGTTTCGTGTTTGATACCTTTCCTTTTCAGAAGATTTTCAAATTCATTTGATACATACTCTCCGCCATTATCTGTACGCAAGGTTCCAATTTTACATGCAGCTTCATTGGTTGCAGAGGCTTCAAATTCTTTAAACCTCTTTAGTACCTCAGACTTATTTCTAATGAAGTAGACTTTGACACATCTCGAGTAGTCATCAATGAATGTGACAAAATAACGCTTTCCTGAAAAGCTCTGTATTGACATTGGTCCACATACGTCGCTGTGAACTATCTGTAATTTTCTAGAAGTCTTGATCCCCTCTGTTGACTTGAAAGGTTTTCGGCTCATCTTACTTTCCGCACACCCTGTGCAAAAGTTCAGTTCGTCATTTCCTTTGATGGTAACTCCTTTGATGAGCTTCTTCTTGACTGATTCCAATAGCTGTTTTCTATTTATATGTCCTAGCCGTTGATGCCAAACATCCATCGTGCTAGGGTTGCTATTTTCCATCCTTTCAGATTGGTGATAAGCTGCTGTTATATCTGTTTCGCAGCTCAGAACGTACATTCGCTCAACGAGTCTTCCTTTGCCTACAGCCTTACCGTCCGAGTCTTTTATCCAGCAACAAGTATGTCCAAACTGAACAATGAGTCCCTTCTGTGTCACAGCTCGCACACTGAACAGGTTGCAAGCTAGTTTCGGAACATAAAGTACATTATCCATTTCAATTGTCAGCTGCTTGTTGTGGCTTGTTTCCATGGTTATTTGAGCTCGTCCTGATCCACGGGCTTCCACTGTATGTCCGTCACCCAGTTTGACTAATTCAGGCTGGTTGAACTCTCTGTAGTTAATCAAAAGCAGTTTGTTTGAGGTCATATGCTGCGAGGCACCCGAATCCAGAATCCATTGTCTGTTTGTCTCATTTTCTGTTTGTTTATTTTCAGCTAGAAAGAGTTGAGAGTCTGAGTCATCATCTGCCTCCTTTCCTGCAGTCTTTGCGTTATGTGTTTCATTTTTAAATGAATTGCTGGGCCTCACTTGCTTCCTTTTGTGACATTCAAAGCTTTTATGACCCTCCTTGCCACAGTTGTAACATTTGCCTTTGAAAGGCCTGCTGATGCCCTTTTCCAAATGTAATGCTGAGTCTCGATTAATTTTAGTCGTTGCGGTTGCTTTGAAGGCCTGTTTTTTCTGCTCTTCATTGATAAGGGCTTGCTGGACGAAGGTCAGTGATAATTCATCTCCTTTAGCTTCCAGAGCTGTAACGAGTGTTGTATAGCTTGGTGGAAGGCTTATGAGCAATGCCACGACTTGCTCTTCTTCAGCTACTGTAGACCCGAGTGCATGGAGTTTATCAGCAATTTCCTTCATACGTTTCAAATGATCTTGGACCGATTGCCCTTCAAGCATTTTTGAAGTAAAATATTGTCTCTTGAGAAACAGCTTGTTGGCTATCGTATCCCTCTCGAAATAGGCTTTGAGAGTATCCAACAGGTCCTTCGGTGTTTCGCATGATGTCACCAAGTAGATAAGATTCGACTGAATTCCCATTACCAACGTCGCCATTGCCTTTTGCTTGGCCTTTTCGTATGTAGCTCTAGATGCTGTATTATCGTCAGGTAATGAAATCGTTCCATCTACGTGATCCCACACATCTTTCGCCATCAACAAATGTTTCATTTGAAACTTCCATGTAGGCCAGTTTGACCTATCTAATTTTTCGATTTCGAATTTATCTCCAAATCCAGCCATGTGCAGTGGTTTGGTTCTGGGCCCATAACCTGTTGTTTTGAGATTCTATCGACTCGTTCACTGCGAAACATGCAACTATCTAAACTCTACGTGACGCGTGCTAAAAAGTTCTACCTCAGCGATCATTAGAACTTTCTAGAAGCTTCTAATTGGCTGACAATAGAGCAGCAAGCAATCTACTCTAACACGTGTCCTACACTAGCTACTAATTACGAAAGTCATTAGTTTACTTACAAACGCAGCAATTACGTAACTGTTGAGTGCACGTTCCCAACATTAAGGTCTGGGGCAAAGTATCCCAGTCTAAAATAGAACAAGGGGCCTCTTTAAAGTTAGGGTCTATATCCTATCGTTTTCTGCGTATCAGATTGCTACTTATTGCAAAGTTTCCTGGTATTGTACCTACTTTCAGCAGAGATATCGAAACAACGTCGCTTCAGGAGTCTTTGGGCAAAGTAACCCAGTCTAAGAAATAGCCGAAGGGGGCAATTTTAAGTTGGGGTCCATATCCTATATTCTTTAGCGCATGAAACTGTCTTTCTTTGCAAAGTTTCATGCTGTTGTACCAAAATACGACTGAGATACGATAATACCGTCTAAACAGGTCTGGTGCAAACTACCCCAGTCTAAAAATAGAAAAAAGGGGGTAATTATCCCATCTTTCGACCGTATCAAACTGTCCCCTGTTGCAAAGTTTCGTGCTATTGTACCTACTTACAGAAGATATATTGTAATGACGCTGTTAAGGGCTTGGGTCAAAGTACCGCAGTCTAAAAAAGCCGAAGGGGGCAAATTTCAGTTGGGGTCTATATCCTTTCTTTTTTAGCGTACCGAACTGCCCCTTTTTGTGAAATTTCATGCTGGTATCACAATTTGCACAATTGTTTGACTAACAGCCCTGACTATTAAGCTTTTCGTCTTACTCTTTAAAACGTCGGAATATAAATCGAAATACTTCGCTAAGAAATATATATAACCAGTTTTGGATCTAAATAGGCCAATCAGAAACGCGTGCACATGACTTTTGAGGTTGACCAATCAGTGCCACTTGCCTACTGAAAATGTTACCAATGGAGTCCTTAGGTAAAAACGAACTCCTTTTGCATAGGCAGTAGTGGTTTTTTTGCTTATGTAGATAGACTCCAAAACTGCTCGATGGAACGACGATTGGTCTCTGCCAATAATCCGGTAAATGTCGCCATTGACGTTTTTTTTCACAACTTGATTTTCTCGTAAATGCTGCCCGATAGCGGAATCGCATGTTTTGGCTGTCGGTTTTGATTGGAAAGACCGAGGAGGCTGTTCTCTTTTGTGGAGAGTTTTGCTTCTAACGCTAACAGTGTTACTGGATAAAGAACTACATTATCAATAGAAGAAAGAGGCCAATAGCATGTGAGAGGGTTTCAGAATGGTCAGAGGTCACTAGTGGTGTCCCTAAGGGCTCAGTATTAGGACCAATCATGTTTCTTGTGTACGTCAATGATATACCAGAGATGGTCAGCAGTATTAAAAGCTTTTTGCAGACGTCGCAAATTTTGGAGAGTGTTAAAGACAGAAGATTAATTCCGACAAACTACAATAAAACCTAGACTCCTTGGAAAAGTAGTTAAGAAGATGGTTATAAAAATTTAAAGAAAGTTAATGGAAGGTAGAATGTAGAAGTAAGCTACTTTATAGGGGAAGGAGACAACAGATCTATGTTAGAAGTATTGAAACAGAGAAAGATCTAGGAGTTTGGATCTCAAACACACTCCGATCTGCCACTCAGTGCAAGAAAGCAGTCAATAAACCCATGGAGGTACTGATAGGAACAAAAGAGATCTTTCAAGGGTAGTGACGTTGGCATTTGCGCTGGTTTGGGAAAATTTCCTTTTGGAGCTTCTACTTCCCTGTAATTAGGGTATGAAGGGGTCTTAAAAATTAATAACATTAAGTTGTGTGTAATGGGTTGAATAAAAAGGGGTTCGAAACAGCAAATGACTTTTCTAGATGGACCTATGTTTTAAAACAGGGGGAGCGTAAAGGAAGTAAGTTTGCGGTAGCGAATGTAAGCGATAGTTGGCAGTGGAGATTGCGTATTCAAAACTGTATGCCTAACATCGTCTTAATTTCATTATTTTTCAATTCCAATTTTGGTATTGAAATACCACTCCCCGGAGTTACTCACTTCATTGCAGAATTGCCAACGCCCCCCCCCCCTCTCAAGGCATTACCTCGCTACGCTTGAGCAAACACCTCAAATACCAAAGGTAAAATGAATAAACAATTAAGGATAAATCTATCAAGGTAAATTTTAAAAGTAGAAATGTCTTACTGGTGATGATTCCTCCGGTGAGTGGATACAAAAATCCAGCTACTGCTATGACTATTGGAATGTATCTTCCGAGTTTATGTTTCCGAAGAGCTCTTAGTGCGATCAAAGATGCAAGTCCGTGCATCAATACAGTTGTTGCAAGGCAGTAGAGAAATATTTGATACCACATATCTGAAAAGCACAAGCAGTATGTTTCTGCAAACATTTGCTTATATATCTCATAGACAAAGATAAAAAACATTAGTCGCTATATGCCATGTCAACAATAAACATGATTATAAAACGAAAACAAATTTTACTTATAAATTCCTTGTACCATTTCTACATTAACAATGGTCAGCGGCAATGGTAACCATACCGGACTTACTTCATTCGACTGCTGTGATAGCTATATGCTCAGGGTTCTAGACTTGAGCCTCATAATATTCTGACAAGGATGGAAAATGTCAAACATGGTTTAGCTTATTAGGAAGGGGTGGTGGTCAAAGAATGGTAGTAAACAAAAAAAGAAACACAGTGTGAAACAAAACTGCCAGCATTTCTATTTTTAGTTGCAATTTACTTCACTTACCAGAGTGCCATTTTCTTCTAAATGTTATATTGAGTCACATTGAGGTGATGCTCTTTGGGTATCATAATTATGTTAATGGGCAAATTACATACAGACTTCTGGTTTTATGTATCAGATGCTGTCAGCATAGTTGTCAGCAAAGAGGAATCTTGGCCTCGATTGATACACTCTTAAATACACTAAATTCTTTCCAATTCCAAAAGGTACTCCTTTTTCTAGGTTTAACTGTCCTAGATTTGGGTAAAAAACCACCCTCTTTATCAGATATTTTCCGGACCTCTGAATGAAAGCTGACATGCCAGGCATTGGTCCTTACTTGTTTTGCTCTATTTTTGATACAAAAGGATTAGACAACAAAGTGTCATAGAACCCACAAAATAATCTTCTATTATTTTGATCCCAATATAATTTCAAAACAACAATGCTATTGGGAAGAATAATCTTCTAAAATTGAATTTTTGGCATACAGTTTTGCTTGAACATCTAATGAATCAATTGTCGAACAAATTCTTTTCAGCATCATCGGATGACCATGATGATGATGTTTTTTCATTAGACTCCACAGGCACACCAGCCAGTGATTTTTTTACAGTTTTCCACTTTTGAATATGCAAATGGCATCACGTAATTCTCTAAATGGTGAATGCTGTAACTTAAAAATTATTTCTGGAGAAAAACTACAAAGATTCTGATTGAAAAGGAATCTTTACAAAATGCAAATGGATGAGGGGCAGGCTTGTGATCACTTGCCTCAAGCTGAGAGGCCTTTTTCAGCCTTACATTAATCCATGGCTTTAATTAAGTGCTACACTGCACCAAATACACACAATTCTCCAATTTTTTCACATCCATCTTCCACTCACTAGAAATTCTCATTATGTGGAAATTTTGCACCCATACATCTTGCCTTATGCACACATGCAATAAAAAACTTGTCACACTTCCTGGAGTGCTTCCTTTCTTACTCTTAACTGTTCACAAGAGAGATACTATTTTCAGCACACTTAAGAACTTTTTCTTGTATGGTGTAAACAAAATCAATATTTTAAGGTAGACTTGGAAACATTGTACCACTACTGTTCATACTTGGTGGTACATTTGTTGCAGTTGTTGGTTGCATATGAAAAACTAACACCATTAACATCATTGGGTTCCAACAAAACGTGGCCTATGCCGTTGGCATTCTTCTTGGCATAGTGTTGGCCTACCTGTTGGCGTAGTAATGATGTACATTTGGCATACAAAGGCATACCACATAAATTTGACATAAGCTTGGCATGCCTCTAAAATACAACTGAAAACCCAAAAAAAGAAAAATTACACTAAAATGTACAAAGATGATTTTTGCCAATGTTTTTGCAAGTTTGCATTCAAGATACTTTTGATCAGATCAAAAGAATGTAGTGCTCATTTGGCAAACATATGCATCCTCTATTTACAATACATAATAATAAATGTATAATTATGTACCATTTTAATTAGCTACCTTTTTCAGCTTCTATGGACTATCCTTCTCTTTGGCATTGTTAATCTTATTTTATATGCAGAAATCATAATCATGGTGTTAGAGAGAGAGAGAGAGAGAGAGAGAGAGAGAGAGAGAGAGAGAGAGAGAGAGAGAGAGAGAGAGAGAGATGTGGTACATTCCCTGAAAAACTCTAATCTGAACCAAACTAATTACCCTATTTCCTCTAAAGAATGCCTTTTTCCAAGTGGTTGGCTGAAGATGCGGCGTTTAGTAGAGGGCGGCGTTTATCAGAGGGCGGCGTTCATTAGGGGAAATATGGTATACAAATTAACATACTTACAGAGAAAAAATGTATATCTAAAATTAACACAAATTATGGGGAAAAAATGATCCTAAATGTGAGTTAAGGTGATTAGTGAAATGAAGTTAAGAGTGACATAAATGATGCCTGTGCCGTGATGTGAGAATATTATGTAATGAATGAGAAGGAGCAAATAATTCAAACAGACCTAAGCAGAGTCACTACTTGGACTTGTTAAATAGTTTCACTTTCATGGTGGGATCTACGGTGACTTTCTGATCAATTTCATAACTCCACCCTTAGTTAAGCTCCCCTCCATAAATCAACCCCTATCCAAAAAGGAAATGGTGTCTTGATATCTTGTATTATAGTGGCCAATCTTGCTTTTTCTCTAAAAGATGTCTACATCTTTACAATATGTAGTCATTCACTTCATTCGCAATTTGCATGCCATCTGTGATTTGTTAAAGCATGTGAATTCAATACACACTCCAGGGGCGGTTCCAGCAAAAAACTTGACTGAGTTCCAGGCCAAGGCTAGGGACTTTCAGATAATGCATTGATCATTGTACATAAGACAACATTATTATTCATATTTATGCATTTTGGTACCATTGAGGGGTGGGGGGTAGGGGTAGGTACTATCTACTCACTAAATCTAGATTCTAAATTTCTTTCCGACAAAAAAAAGTGCCTCTGTGAAAAATGTTTCAACCCCCTCCCTTTCTCAATACCCTTTGTTTGTTTTGGATGCCACAGCAAAGTTTTTCTTTTTTGTTTTGCTCACAATTTGCTGTTTTGCCTCCGTAGACACCAGCCTATTCATCAAAATATGGTGTCCCGTCTGAGCAAAAGGTTTTTCCTACACTGGGTACCAGACTCACTATATATAAAATAAAATAGAGTCTGGTACCCAGGGTAAGGTTTTCCGTTCCAGTGCCAAAGACTGCAATTCAAAGCAAAGGTAGTTAACACTCCTGGAAAATTAACGATATCTCCTGGTTTTATCTCAAACGCTTAATAATCTGCTAGAATGCTGCGATGGTTGTGAGTATAAGACGTCTGCAGTTGCCATTTCGAATTAATGTTTTGCAGTTCCACAATAGAACAGAAACAATAGGTAGCCAATCAACTACCGGCCATTGTACAGCTCTCTTACAAATATGGTATCATTTCCGAGTTCCAGATGCTGTTTTGACTGAGTTCCATCCGTGTTCCAAACAAAAAGTTTATTGTTTCAATTCATTTACTTCGGAGGCACAAAACGTTTATTTCTAAGTTCTAGGATTGACTGCTGTTGTCCTCCACAGTGTCTGGAAAATCGTTTCCAAATCACGCAAGAGAAGAAACTGGCAATTTTATAATTTTGAAGAGACTGTGATAAAACTTAGAATTTTTAGGTTTCAATTTTTTAATTTAAATATTACTTGTTTCAGGCAACACTATTTTTAGCAGTATGTGCACCAAGGAACTCACTCTGGATCTGCCTCTGCACTCAAAGCTATTTCACAAATTGCTATTGTTAGATCAGCTAATGAAATTCATTCTTTTATGGGGCAAAATAGTGCATAAATTGGCACCATCTATCGAACAATTTCAGAACAAGATTGTAGTTTTTGGCAGAAGAAGATGATTGTTGCTGTCAAATATGAAGGAGGTAACACAGAAGAAAGATGAAATGTAGAAAATATTTTCAGCTTAGCCTTTGAAGAAAAAAAGGCAACGAGGGGCAGACCTCATTTATCTGTGCGAGTGCGTGAGCAGCACTCACAGACACAGAACTTCATCTTCAGGACTTTCTGCAGGCACATTTCTGAATCAATTTTTATTTACCTTTTATTGTGTGATGGTCATGCTTTCTTTAAACAGCTTTCTTGGTATTCAAATTGAACAGTCAAATAAAATATAAAAGGTAGTAGTAGAAAGTCTTCATTAGCAAAATGACAGAAGGTCCTTACTCTAAAGGCGCCTTCCATTTTCATAATTTCAAAATTTTTGACAATTTGTGACAACACAAAAAAGCCTCTGTTTCAACAATTTTTGGAGTGATAGTGTTTTCATATTAAAATAATCAAAATCTTGTAAGCATTAAAAACGTCCTATTATAAATAGCATCCTTATAAGATACTTTTTATCATAAGACATTTCAATGAAAGTAACTGGAAAAAGAATCTTTCATGGCTATTTTACATATCTTTGAAATGAGAAACACCCAGTGTAATGTTGAAATTCTTGCAACTGTACGCAAAATCCTAAAATTCAGAAACTTTGAAAGAAGACGTTGTAAACAAAACTGCTCCATTTAAAGTAGAGCGTTTTAGATATCGGAAAGCGTCATTACTGAGGATGTCGTTATGTGATGAAATTGGTACTAGCGACAGTGCTTATTGAAAACCCAAGACGAGCCTTTGATAAAAACTGGATCATTCCCTTTTTTCATGTACAAAATGTAATGCTAGTAGCATTTGTTCAGATTTACATGTAGTTACATGTAGTTCATGATGATATTAATTTGGTATCTGCTTTTGACAAAAGTAAGTTGGTGTAGCAGTTCTGAGCGTAATATGGAGGTTCTTGATTTATCAATATTATGACTTTAAATTGTAACCTTACAGGCACATTTTTACTTGGCTTTGCGCTCGCAGGTACAAAATATTATTGATGAGCCCTGACAAGGAGAGCATGTAAATCGAATCCATGAAATGCAGCTTGGGTCATTGCTATTTGTATCCGTTATGACACCTTTGTATTTCTGCTCTTATAACTAACACTGCTAGTATCCCAAACAACTTTGATTGAATGAATCAATAAACAATTCTTAAGCAACATTTTCTACACATCAGAAGTCAATTTAACCTTGGCATTTTTGCTGGTCCCTACTAGCACCAACAAAAAGATAAAGAGTGGCCTTAGAATCCAGGTGAAATGATACAATAATAAGTGTGTTTTGATTGGCTAGTCTTTATCCATAACTTTCCTTGACATTCAGACAATCACACATTCAGAAACCATTATGACATTCAAAACACATCCAGACATTCACAAAAAGTAAAACATTACAAAAAGGTCAAAGTTGCATATTAGATGTTCACGTGCAATTCCACTATATCGCATGGTAATTTCAAACAAAAGAACATGTGATTTGCAAATTGCAATTGAGGTTGAAATGGGCCAGAGGATGCAGATTTTTGACAAATATAAAGTTTTTGATCTGATACAAATTATTTTCAATGTAAACTTACATAAACATTCACATACATCATCTTGGTATTTTAATAACAATTTGAATGCATAACTAATGTGATTTTACTATTTTTAGGGGTTGAGTTGAAGTGTAGAGAACAAGCCTACATATCTGTATTTGTATTTGTATTTGTAAATGATTTGCATTTGTATTTGTTTCTATTTAGCATCGAAAGGTAGTTTCTAGGGCACTGAGAAGCTGAGCCTATCTAGTAGTGTCCTGGTATGACCACACCTTGTGATTCTTACACTTGGAAATGCAGAGAACTGGTCACACTCCATGCTTAGTCATGCTAGGGACTCAGCCATTGACCCTTAATAATACGATATGTGTATATTAATATTGCCAGTCCAATTTGCCGACAAAGTTGTTGAACCATCCTTTACTTGCCGACAAAGCACCCCTAGTTGATTAATAAACCCAATAGCTATGAACTTTCTTGCCAAAAAGGGGGGTGGTCACAACAATTGTGTTGGGCTGCCAATTAAGTTTATGGTGGAGCTTGCTCCATGTACACTTCTTGGTAGTCTGGGAAATTCTCACAAATGGGCCATATTAAAATCATTCCGAACAACCTAAATGTTAGATCATAGTTTACTGTTAGATTGTTTCATTGAAGGAGTTTCGTGGAGTATTTAAATGAAACAAAAGCTTGAGTTACTCAAACAGTTGATGTTTTGGCCTTCTACCTTTGTTTGTGCACAAATACTAAATGCTCTGCTGGATGAATAGCCCCAACCAAGGTCATACTACCTACTTTGTTGAAGCAATTACTTATTTGAAAAGCCACCAGAAGCAACACAAATAGTCACAAAACCTGCAGTTCCCTTAAAAAATTGCGAAATTTACAAACATAATAAAGTTCCGTACAAATTATTTTTGAAGCAATAATGGCATTAGTTTTATCTAAGCTCTTGGCAACTTACTACGAATGGTATCAGATAGAGCATACTGTATCCGTCGATCTTTAACTTTTGTTTCTTTCATTGATATATCTTTGGTTAACTTGCATTCGATAAATTGTAAACATGTTGATGAATTATATAAATCTGAATTTGAAAGTTTCTTCGTATGATAAGGCCTAAAATTCATATTGCAATGGGTCGTGATGGGGTGATTATGAAAGAAAAGATGTCTTGAAACTGACATAGATAAAGCTTAAATACATAAATACCTTTGAACGATACAAGAACACCAAGTGGGTCTTGAAGCTTCAATTTTGAGCTCATCTCTGCAGAACGCTTACAATGCAGCCTGTTTTGGCACTGCAATTCCGACAATCGATCTTATAGTAAACATAGGTCAAAATAATGTTGAAAATTGCTCGGGCAAAATTGAACTGAATAGTTTGATGTTGACGCCTTTAAAGTGCATATGACACGAAAAGCTTTATTCGCTTAAATCATCAAAGAAACATCGCTGAAAACGATGGTGAACTTACTTTTTTCATTTGCGACTTACTTTTTCCAAAAAACGGGGTTTTCCAACCAGGGGCAAAACTACTGGGGGGGGGGTGCTGCACCCCCACAATCTTCAAAAAGGCAGATTTTATCGGGCAAATTTATGGCTGCCAGTGTATCTGTCGGGCAAATCTGGAAATTTTCTTTAGATCGCACATTTATTGCTACTTTTTGCCCTAGCTTGGTTTTTTAATTCATTGTCTTTTCCCCATCTTTTTTTCAATCTCCTCCCAGTTGGGAAAACAAAACAGAAACGAAGCAAGGAACAGCAACACATATACATTTCTGTCTTTCGTCCACCGATCAGCGCTTTCGTCTCGAGCTCGACGCGCACATGTTTATCTTCGCTTCGAGATGAAGTCTGAAGTATTGATCGACAGCGAAAGTATAGACGGAAAAAAAGTGTGTTTGATGTGAGAAGGAAATGAACACTGTGCAAACCCCTTCCCCCTACTTTTTGCAAAAGAAGCGAGCTTTTTTCAAAATCTATTGTTGCGATCTCTAAATTTACCCCTGACAAGACCCCCCCCCCCAACTTTCCATCCTACCTCGGAGCCCATGGAACACTGACAGTTTTAGAAGCATCATAAATCAAAGCATGAAGGATATTCCATCTCGGCATACGTTGTTAAGAAAAATCAATCAATACTTCTTTTTCAAATGTATGAAACTTTCATCATCCATTGATAAGGAGTTATGCCCCAAAATTCTCTTAAGGTTTTACATTTACGGTTCAAAAGTATTGCACCCTTCGCTAGAAAATGGTCATACAGACGCCAAAGTTTTTAAGCTAAAAAAATTCGAATAACCGTAACAAGTAACAGAAAGTTTTAATCAGTTCAAGCGGGAAATAATATAAAATTTATCAAGAAATTGTAGTTAAGATATGAGTTGCAAAAAACTTTCGAGTTTATTCTATTTCTGAACAATATCCATGATTGCGAAAACACGAAAATTGAGCTTTGATGATAGGCGTACCTGTAAAACACCTCCAATAAAAACTTTTCTTTGCTTGAGGGATTTTGTTATAGTGAATTTAGAGATACGTACTTTGTGCTTGGGTGTCTAAAAATTATGAAATTGCTTTCGGAGCAACCGAAAATTGAAAATGAAACTCAGAAAATGCAACTGAAGCTCTTTTTTGTTGGAACATTGTAATCTGCGTAGCTGTTTCTAAATTCCGAAATTTCCAAGCTGTGTTTTGGTGTTCCACTTTGATAAAATTGAGACCCTACTTCCATCTCTTTTTTGAATTGCTCTCTTAATAGCTAGGTGATATAGAAAGTGAAGACTTTTTTTTTATAGAAAAGACAGGCCTTACAAATGCTTGCTTTTCGGAAACAAATGTTTATAGCCAACACCAGAAAAACTAGAGGCATATTTTTTGACTTAAAACAAACAGCCTGA